AGAAGAGTTGCTAGATTTAGATTCCGGCGCTGCTTCCGCACCAAAACCAAGTCTTTCAATTGCTGATTCAGCAGCTGTCGTAGTAGTCGCCAGCGTGGTGCAGCAGCAGAGGCGTGGTGCAAGCGGGAGTGGGCCCTCTATCGGCACTTTAAGGCCTAAGTATGTAATACGTATGTGGCACATGGAGCCGACGGGATCTAAATCGATGACAACGATCAACGACGGAGGCTCACGCTCATTTTCGATGCTCGCTCGCACTTGCTCTCTTCACGATACCGGACTCGGCGATAAGACCTCGAATCATACGGTTGATGATGCAAAGCTTGCTTTACCCATAAGACGGAATATACCATAATTCCATAGTTCAGGGTCCTTCAGGTAATGCAGGATTTCCATCATTATCCGTACCTCTCCCCTCAAGCCATAGAGTCATAGGGTTTATCAAGCGAGTTGGATGATCGTCAGCATTCGAAGCCCAGGACCTAGATTGAAAACCCACCTTGCTTTAGGATTTAAGGATTAGGGGTGATGAATCTCGGCGCTATCCGGTACTTGTATTTTGAAGCTAGTATGTCCCAGGGTTCCTTGATAATGAGAGCTTCAGAGAGCCCCTTTGTGATAGTTCCCTCGACTCTTTCAACCATACCCTGGACCAGGGCCGTGTCAAACAGGAATAAACGTCCATACGCTTGCACCTCCAAATTTGCAATAGAAACCGACAACAGGCCCTACACCCGAAACGCAATAAACTCAAAAACCCTAAACACTATACCCTAAACCCTGTACCCTAAACCCTAAACTCTAAACCCCAAAACCCTAAACCCTAGGCCCTGGGCCTAGATCTCCAAACCCCAAACCAAAACTCCCCCCAAAGAGGCCGGGCCTTCTCGTAGAAGGCAAACATCAGCGCAGCGTGCGATACCGTTTGAAGAAGCTTTGGGACCAAGCCGAAGTACTGGCACATCGTCTGTTTGGGGTTTAGGGTTGAGGGTTTGGGGTTTAGGGGTGCGGCCTGGGGTTTAGGGTGAAGACGATTTGGGATTATGCCAACGTACTGGCGGTTCCGGCCGTAATGTTTAGGGACTGGGATTTAGAGGTTCAGGTTGAGGGGTGCAGGAGTCTACGGTATCGAACTGAGGGTTCACGACTCAGGCTTCAGGTTTAGAACGCTCCGCTGGCCGAAGGCCTCAGGCTTCCGGTGCAAGAATGGCTAACAAGGTCGAAAATGTTCGTTCAGCATGTCTTACCACACATGTCCTTGTTGTCTAGGCTTGGTTGCGGGTGACCATGAACCCCTAAACCCCTAAACCCCTAAATCCTAAACCCCGCACCCCTAAACCTGTAAAGCTGCACACCCGATCGCGCTCTTTGGTCTGTGAAAGCCGGAGGTCCTGTGGGGGCCACGCCAGCTTCTTGGCAGGGGCCATGCTTTGCACAATGAACAGCCAGTCGTGTGCTGGCTTCCCCATTCGAGCACCATCCAGAACCACGGAGACCACACCAAAGCCTGGCATGTGTCTGTTGCTACGTGTGTTTTGCAACGTATTTCTTTTTAGCCGTCTCTTCTGCAGGAAGAAGCTTATGCCTTAGAAGCTGCCCTCACCCTGTAATAGTGACCATAAGGATTATATAGGATTATTTTAGGGCCCTATTCTATTCCTATTATACCACTATTACAGGGTGGGGGCAGCTTCTAACTTATGCCCTTCTTGTGGTGCTTGAGGAAAGGAGGTGTGGGCCGACGCAAGCTGGACCAGGACAGCCTCTATCCAGCGGAATGGCGACTTCTCATCCGCGCCCCGCCCCTCTTGCAGAACAGAGAGCCCAATACCCCTTAATTAAGGAATATATCCTAAATCATAATATGAAGCCCTATATAATTTATGCCACATTCCTTAATTAAGGGGTATTGGTCTCTCTGGGCAGAAAAGACTGAATAGCGGCCTCCTTGAAGTGTGGGTCCATTCAGCGCTTTGTTCGGGCCATTGACATCAGGCCGTCAGCTTTCAAGAAGTCAGCATTCGCCCAGTCTGCGAAGCACCCAACAATGACACCACTGACATCTTTGCACATGCGAGCTGTGAGCGCACCGACAGAAACCCCAAGTGCTAAACCCCTGTAGCCCTGAACCCTGTCCATCCCATCTCAGCACCCTTGACCCAGGGAATCCCAAATCCTTTGTTTAAGGAGTCTACCTGAAATCCGCATAAGTTACAAGGATTCCTCTAGAGCTTACGGTCTATTCCTCATAACTTCTAGAATTTGGGTAATGCCCCCAAAAAGTATCTCTACAATAGGGCTACGATAGGCTACAAGGCTACAATCAAGGGCGCAATAAATCTATACTATCAGTTCTATTCAGCTGTTATTTAGTGGGAGCAGTACCCAATATCCCTAAACCATCTTTTACCTTATGTGGTTAAGCTTTAATGGCATTTACGGGTTAAGGTCGTCCGAAACTCAATTCCGAAACTTATTCCGACACCTTATTCCGCAACCCTATTCCGAAACCTAACTCCGAAACCTATTTCCAAAACCTAATTAAACTTATTCCGAAACGATATTCCGAAGCCTGGGCTAGCCTTTAAGGTTTAGGGCTTAGTTTAGGGTTTAGAGCTGTTGCGGTTTAGGGCTAAGTTTGGGCTGGCCTTTAGGGTTTAGGGCTTGGTTAGGGCTAGCCTTCAGGGTTTAGGGGTTAACCCAAAACCCAAAACCCTAAACCCAAAACCCAAAACCCAAAACCCTAAACCCCAAACCCGAAACCCTAAACCCTAAACCCAAAACCCAAAACCCAAAACCCAAAACCCAAAACCCTAAACCCTAAACCCTAGCCTTGAGTCAGGGCTCGAGGCTCAGGTTCGGGCTAGCCTTTTGAGTTTAGGGCCTGGGCTACTCTTCAAGGTTTAAGGCTTAGTCTCGCCTGGCCTTTAGGGTGTATTGCTTAGTCTGGGCTGGCCTTTGGTGTTTGGAGCTTAGTCGCTGGCCTTTATATAAGGTTTAGATCTTAAGTCTGCGATGGTTTGTATGAATGAATGCGCATACCTTGTATTCTATGAAAACCCTAAACCCTAAACCCCAAACCCCTGAACCTCTGAGCCTTGAACCTCGAAACCCTAAACCCAAGTCTGTACAACAAGCTGAACTCGAAGCTGCTCCCGGAGCTGCTGCAACCTAAACCCTAAAACCCTGAATCTAGAGTCGTCTCTTCCTAGGAACCCTGATATAGGGGGGTTAGGGGGAGGGGGGTCCGGGACTATACTTCTTCAAAAAGTCCTTATTATAGGTATTAAGGCCCCCTCCCCCCTAAGGGTCGTTATGCTAGATTGTCAAGGGAAACGAGGACTCCTAGAAGACCCTCTAAAAGGATGCTATAGGGTGTCTAAAGGGGGGGGTTCTGTAGGGTGTGTAGGGTTCCTTTAAAGGGATCCAAGGGTCCTAATGATCCCTGGGGATGCAGGGATTTCTGTGAGCTCTGTGATGCACGCAAGAGCAGCCCCAATCCCCGAAAACATTCCTAAACCGTTTAGGGTTTAGGGGTTTAGGGTTTAGGGTTTAGGGGTTTAGGGGTTTAGGGGTTTGGGGGTTTGGGGTTTAGGGGTTTCGGGGTTTAGGGTTTAGGGGTTTAGGGGTTTAGGGGTTTAGGGTTTAGGGTTTAGGGTTTAGGGGTTTAGGGGTTTAGGGGTTTAGGGTTTAGGGTAAAAGATGCTCAAAGGTGTTCTCATAAGGATCCCTGTCAGGGTACTTCAGGATTCTTTAAAACCCTAATCCACCAGTCCTAAACAAACCCCGAAACGGTTTAAGGTTTAGGGGTTTGGGGTTTAGGCGTTTAGGGTTTAGGGTTAACAAAACCCGAAAAAGGTTTCGGGCCGGTGTAGGGTTTAGGCTAGGCAAAACTCAATCCATAAGCTTGCAGACTCCTTTAAAGGAACCTGCAAAATCCAAGACAACCCTTTACAGGTCATGTCGCCAAAGGGACATGCCAGCTCCACCAAAGCCCCTATGCCTTTCTCCTTGTAGAGCCCCCGCATGCACTGAACCTGCGTGGGGATTTCGGTTTAGGCTTTAGGCTTTAGGCCTTTGGGTTTAGGAATTTAGGGGTTTAGGGTTTAGAGTTTCAGGGCTGGGGGTTTAAGCTTCAGGGTGTAGGATTGAGGGGTTAGCTGCTACGCCCTTGACACCTAACTCCAAATCCATGAAGCAAACAGGGCTTGCTATTTTCGAGTGTTCAGGGATTACGGGATTCTCGGCCGAATCGTCCTCGGCACCATAAACCCTAAACTTTAATCGTGCAGGCCACAGGACCCGCTAGTTTCCAATAAGGTTTAGGCCCCGGCCAGAGTACGAGGTATGGAGACCTGCGTAGTTCAGTGTTTGGGGTTTTGGGGTTTAGGGTTTTTATGGCTTCTAGATATAGCAGGGATCATACGCGAGTTTAATTTCTTTTATTCAAAGCTCTAAAAATGTCATTCGCCTTGATGCAGGCGGGGTTTAGGAGACAATATGGACCTTGTAAAGTTTAGGATCTAGTAGTTTAGGGTTTAGGCTTTTAGGTTTAGCCTTGAGGGTTTAAGAGTTTGTCGTTCTTCAGAACGGTTACCCGAAGGTCCTGGGCTTACTTCGGAAGCTTGCGCCATGCTAGTCTTCTCAATTCAGTTGGAATCCATGGCTCTCGAGACGAATTGTGTTTTTTCCGCACTGCACAAACGAATCTGCTGTGACCTGCTGATGCCTTAAGCATGCACGATCTTACAGCTTTCTGAAGTTCATGACACAGAGCTATCTAGCTTGCGGAACCCTCACAACACATGGATCAACACTGATCCGCTTGATGCCTGCTCGGAGAAGGGCACATTTAACCCTCCTCCTTCATCCTTGTGCCGCGCACCTCGATCACAGCATCATCAAAAGTAACAAGGTTGCTTCGTAGTGCGAAGCTGCTCCACAGCTTCTTCATGCAAACATTGGCTCGCCACGAACCCCAAGAGGTTCCACCGGCGCCCCTAGTAACTTCTCGAGGGCTGTAGGGATCGACTCCGACGACTGTACAGTGGCGTGTTACGCTGGCAATATGCGCAGTACTCTACCGCGTACACATCTCCAGAATTCCTCAGGCCGTGGCAGTGAGGGTCAGTGTGCAAGTTAGACCGTGAAGAGTTCGTCTTGTAGTAGCCTCGCTCAGGCATGATCTCAAACTCGTTCTCAAACTGTTGGGCAGCGGGCGTGTCAATGATCTTCTTGGTGGTCTTAGCCCGGACTATAGGATGCGGATCTGGTGGTGGTGGCTGGGGTGATGGAACCTCCGAACTTCCACAAGGCTCTTCCGCTAGAACCTGTCGGTTGATGAAGGCTCGATCCACCTCCTCCTCCTCCTCCTCCGCCGCTGCTTTTGCGTCATCTCGTATCTTACGAAGTCGCTTCTGCTTCGGGGATTCTCGGAGCCAACCAGTAGCAAACTTGATTGCCCCCTTTATCGCTTCCCAAATAGCGACCGCAGCAATGGACACTAGCAGCGTAACCAGCATCAACTCGTCTGCACCCACCGCTTGCAATCCTGTCCTTGCCGGGGTAGTGCCATCATCTGCTTGGGCTGGTGAGATCATCAAAGCCAGAACAAGCATCGCCATGTATGCACTCTTCGTGTTCAGAGCCTGGACCGCTTCTTGAGGTAGATCCTTGAAACCCCACAACGTAAGCAGCTCCCAAAATCTCATCTTTGAATGCATGTTTGTAGCCAGATCTGCCAGCTGCAGATCACCAGTGGTGTGCTCCACCAGCAACTCGCCCGTCTCCACCAAGCTGCGTATCTTTGCGCTCCGAACCTTAAGATGACGTGTCCTCCAACTGCCCGGTCCTCCCTGAACCATTGACAAGGCTGACGAATTGTCAACCTTCAAGCGTCTGATCGCTTGGTAACCCAGGATTTCATCTAAAAGGCTTCCAACGCTTTCCAAGAGCACCACGGCATTGGCTGTCTCATAGAGCTCTGCTTCCATTACCGAGAGGGTGACGAATGATTGCTTGGACGCTTTCCAAGCGACCGGGCGTCTCGCACCGTCACCACGCTGGCGCCGTAGGACTTTTCTCCGTGCGGGGATAAAATGGCGTCTGAAAACCCAACCAGTTCCATAGGTCCTTCCTTTCCAGCTCCATCCGATCCCATGACCAGCTTTAGAGCTTGAGTTGTCTTGAGGTAGGCGAGGATCCTCCGCCCGATTTGGGCGACTCGGTTCGGTTGATGTGTAACTCTCGACGCCATAAAGGCCACCAGAAACTGAAGATCCGGCCGAGAACGCATAGTCAGCCAGAGCTGCTCCCCCAACGATACGCTGAGCCAGTTTCAACTCCTCCATGGAATAGTTTTCAGGTTCAGCGTGAGGTTCTCCATCATGCACCCATTCCTTGGGGCACGGCAGTCGAGTGCTTACAGCATCGTCCATAGAGTGGTTCCGTAGCAACTCTCGAATGTAGCCTTCTTGGGAGATCTCAAAGACATAGTCCTCCCTTTGACGGAGTTCCATCCCGAGATACCGAGTACCTCCAGGTTCCTGTGCCCACTCAAGCGGACTGCAAGGCCAATCCTTTTGAATCCATTCATGAATGGCCTCGACAAGGGACTTCTCGGCCAAGTAGAGCAGGTCATCAACATATGTAATCACCAAAGCAAGTAGACTGCCCTGAGCTCGCACCTTGTCCTCCTCGTCGTAGGCCAGCCATAGATCAGGATCAGCATCACCAGGCTTGAGGACCACAATCTTCCCCTTCCAAGGAATCCTTGCCGAAGCCATCTCGTCGATCTGCACTTGCTCCAAACAGCCGGTGATCCCCTCAAGCCGTATAGCGGTTTCAACACTTCCCAGACTTGATCTGCAGAGATGAAGCCGGCTTCAATGAGCATTCTCGGCGGGTAAATGGCATACCGAGCCAACTCCTCTGACCAACTGGCCAGAAGGAAGGCCGCCACAATGTCGGATGTGGCGCTTGTCCAGCGCAGAGCTCCAGCAATAGTGAGAGCCAACCTGACCGTCTCCGCAGAGACACCACCAGCATACAGATTGTATGAAGGATCATCTCTCGACACGAAGTTTCCAAAAAGCACTAGGCGGAAGCGCCGCCTTGCCTTTTCACCCTTGTTGGTCGGAGGTTTCAATGTGCAAACAGCTTTTGACGGAACCAACTTGAGCTTGCCCTGCTTTTCGAGATCACGTGCCATCGCCAATGTCATAGGTCTCAAAGTTCCATCCAACAGCTGATTGACCTCCTTGGCCATTGCTTGATGCCACTTGGGTAGTGCAGCCCGAACCTGATCAAGAGGGACGGTATGAACAACCTCGAGGTCACCCTTCAGCTCATCCAGCAATCTTTCGTAGTTCACAACTTCCTGCGCAACCACAGCTGCTCTCAGGCATCTTTGTTTTTGATCATCATGTAACTTTCTCCGAAAGACCGCTAGATCACTGATCATTTCCTCAATGGTTGCCCGAACATTCTCCACCTCATCCACAGTCTGCTGGCCTGCACGACGACACTCTTCAGCCAGGGCCTCTTCCTCTTCCAGAAGTAGTCGCAACCTAGCCGATCTTTCTTCCAAGTCCTCAACCAGCTGCTCTTGATCCTCCGTCATGGTCAACATAGAGTCCTCGAAGGTGCCCTGCTCGTCCGTAGGCAAAGTTTGTAGTAGATGAAGTTCCACCTGTTGAGAGCTTAGGCCTGTGGTCGCCGGCTCATTGAAAGCTTCTTCCTGATCATTCCACTGGGCCTTGCCAATTGGGAAGCCCGCAAACTCCAAGGTGTCACGATCCTTGTAGTGGAGGTGAGGGGCTGTAAAGGATGAGGACTGTCCGGGTTCCTTGCCAAGGCTCAACCGCGTGCCATTTGCGAGGGTTGAACTCACAAGGATCACAAACTTCAAGTTCATGCAACCTTCCTTTTTTTGGCTACCTTCTTGGTCACCTGCTTCCACTCAGCTTCCCTGGCATCAAGATCTTCATTTTCTACTCACAACTCACCACCAGAATCAGGCTTGCGAATCAACACCACAACGTTTTCGGTGGCCACATCGTTGTGGGAGTCCTTGTGGCAACCCATGTCCACATTCTCCAGGATGCCCACAGCAGAGAAGTCGTGACCCTCCTTGAACCGTTTGGCTGCCTCGACTAGGTAGCGCGTAGTCCATCTCATCCTTGTGGTGTTGCCTCGTAGTCCAGCGATGCCTCCATGCACGAACATCCCGGTGGTCCATGATAAACCTTCGCCACAACCAGCTCTTCCTTTCTTAGACTTCACCCTGACATTCTTCAAAGCCTCGAACACCTGAAGGATCGACTCTGGAGACCAACTTCCCCTGTGATGGAGGCCCTTGGACAACCTTTCAACCCGCTCCTCCTCAACGGTCAAAGGGTGGTGCCATGATTGCAGCCAACCTCGTCTTTCTTTTCAGCCGTCGTTCAGGTAGCGGCAACTCCACCTCACGAGGCTCAAGATCTACCATCTCATCACGGTCCACTAGGTTCGCCTTGAGGTGCGGACTCGTCGCAAAAGTGCCGTCTGGAAACTTCACAACATGTCCGTGGGCCACATCCTCTGACGGGCCTACATACACCCCCTGACGCCACGTGTTGTCGATGTCGCACTTTCCTGCTCTCCCATACACCTTGGTCCGAACATGTACTGGACAACCAAACACTGGTAAATCTTCAGCCTTGCAAGAGCCTGTAGTCGCTGACGATGCACCGCGTACCTCATAGCTAGCGGCCAATCTGATTTGGGGAACTTGGCGGCTGTGAGCAAAGCCCTCGCTTCATTTTTGACAAACTTGACTGTCATCTCAGCGCGGCCATTTTGCTGAGGGGATTGAGCCTCTCCTGTTGTCGGTAACACACCTCGCTCCAACAACCATGCTCTAAGCTTTCCGTTGCACAACTCCCTCGCACGATCGGAGTGGCACCTGACCACTGGTAGGCCATCGGCTCTGATCTGGAGGTACAGCTGTCGTACTCGAGAATTCACCTCCACAGCACGTCTTGACCTCATAGGGACTGCAAATCTCAGCACCTGATAGCTGATCTTGTCCCCAACCTCCCGAACCAACTCATTGTATTCACTATTCAGACGATCTAGCTCTTCACGATCACTTCCAGCTAACGGACCATCTGGAACACCCTCCTCCTCAACGAACAAATCTTCGAGACCATGGGGTCGTCTGGTGGATCGACTGAAGCTGGGTCACCGGGTCACCTTGTGGTAGGTCGTCTGGTGGATCGACTGAAGCTGGGTCACCTTGTGGTAGGTCGTCCGGTGGATCGACTGAAGCTGGGTCACCTTGTGGTAGGTCGTCTGGTGGATCGACTGAAGCTGGGTCACCTTGTGGTAGGTCGTCTGGTGGATCGACTGAAGCCGGGTCACCTTGTGGTAGGTCGTCTGGTGGATCGATTGAAGCTGGGTCACCTTGTGGTACGAGCGCGCGTGGTTTCATAGCCCAAACATCTTGTAGATAGCCCAACCCCATGGCACACAGGGTAGCCCAACATGTTGAGAAGATAGCCCATTGCCAAAACCCCAAGGCACAGCGGTGCAAAACATGCGACACTCACAAGAAAACCTCACCCTATCTTGGCGATTGTCATATTCATAATAGCTTGGAACGTCAAAACAAGCATGTTTCACGGAGGCTTCCCGCAAGGCACGGCGAGAACAGAGCAAGGCACGGCCGGCACACACAAGCACCTTGGGCTTGCGATTGCCACAATAAAGCTAGCTTTGAACGTCAAAACACGCATGCTTCATGGAGGCTTCCCGCAAGGCACGGCGACAACAGAGCAAGGCACAGCCGGCACACCCAAGCACCGCGCTTCTTTTCCGGTCCAGCGAGGTCTTACGGCTTCTTCGTTGGAGTTTTCTTCGGGAGATAGACCAAGGAACGATGCTTCATCCAGCACTCCAGCCACTTCTTGCGCTCAGATTTGGACTCCAAGACTTTCGGTCGGATGATTTCCTGCTGAAACCAACTGGCAAGGCTGCCCTTTTTGGCTCGCAGGGTGTCTATGTAGTAGGTCACCAGACGCGTAAAGCCATCGACCGTCAAGCCAGCTTTGCTGACTTCCGAAGCCAAGAAGCTTTCTTCCATGAGTTGGCGGCAATCGTCAGGGTCGTTGAGGTTCCATTCGTCCGCATCATCCATGTCCTCGTCGTCAGCTTTGGCAGGTGGTGGGGATTTGCTGCCCTGAGCAGGCTGCGTGGTAACTGGCAGTGCATCGCCACTCTCTTGCGTCGTCTTGCTGCTTCCGCGCGTCTTCGCAATGAGGTCTCCCCACACTTTTGTGAGGTTTTGCTTTTTGCTGGGAGAAAAGTCCATGGCGCTCCGCATGTCTAGCAGCGGTGTTTGCTTTCGTTTAAAGCCCTGCGATCTGGCACCCAGACCCACGGCACGGCTCACCTCGTTGAAGTTGGCATTGGCCACACCACACTCGCCGCAGAACCGGTTCGTGCTGGGCACCATGGCTTTGCACCCAGCACCAGTGCACCTTGTTGTCTCTGGCGCCCGCTGGTAGCCTTGTGGCGCCGGGAGAACAGCTTCAGCCTCTGCCTCTTGTTCGTACTCGCGCTCCGCCTTACTCAGCACTTTCTTGAACCTGAGATGTTTTCGGAGCTTTAGGAAACTAGGCCGTGCAGAAGGAGGATGAACCCCAAACCACAACGTAAACCCCAGAAAGGACGAATAGACTCCGCGGAACAGCTTGCCGCCTCGTTCTAACAGAACCTTCGCTCGATTGAGTGGTAGTCCAGGTGTGAGCCCACAAGCGGCCCATCCTTTCCGGTTAGCATCTGGGGAGTAGCCTTTGTCGAAGCACTCATGCGCGACATCCAAGGCCTGCAGCGGAGTGAAGCTCGATTCCCGAGAGCGTATCTCAGACCATCGACGCTCAAATTCTCGATTCGGAGTTTGATCCAGTGGCATAACAGCCGATGTATGATAAGGAGGGAGATAAAAGGGCCGCAGCCGGAATTTTGCAGAGATGAGGCCCACTTCGACACTCAAGTGCGATAGTGAGCCGCCGCCGGAATCTAGCAGCACGAGGATTTCCTCCTCAGCCGGCACACGGGCTCTGACCCATGATGCAAAATGCGCATAAAACTCGGCAAAGTGTTCCGTTGTGACGGCACCTTTGCTAGAAACTTTCACGTGGGCATCTCCCCAAACATTCTTCCATGCATTCATCTCCACGGCCCCGCTCATGACCACATACGGCTCGGATCTGTCGCCATTCAAGCATATGAAGGGCAGAACGGAAATGTGCTTGAAAGAGGACTGGCCCGCAGTGCAGGTGGGAGGACCCTGCCCTTTCACACACAGGCTTTGCACAAACTTGATCTTGCCATCATCGTCGGTCATGCCCTTTTCATCACAAGCCCAAACTCTGTGTTCATTCTGCACAGTGCCTCCCGCAGACTTCAGCACACCTATCTCCAGCAGGGTTTCCTGCAATGAATCGAAATATGTCTTGACGGACTCCGGGCTGCACATGGCAGCCTTCTCCCCTTTGACACCAACAACTTTGCGACTGAGGACCTGCATATCCTTCGCAGCAACGCTGGAAGCCCACTGAAACCAGGCTCTGTACACCTTGGTTAAACGCGTTGCTCCGACAACCAACTATCTGGACAAAAAGACGCTGCCACCCTTTTCAACCCTACAAGACCTTTAATAAGTCCCTAACCACTAAAACTCAAGATCCCAAAAAAACAGTGCCACAGCCTAAATCCTAAATGCGATGGGCACATTGTCCATGTTCTTGTCGGCTTCGTACTTGGCAAACTCGGACCAGTCAGGCATCTCCTCGGCCTTCGCTGCACCGATATTCAGAAGGTAGTAGCGCCACATGCATTTCTTCGCATCCTTTGCAGTGAAGGCACAGTTTGAGCGCTGCATGATGCGAACATGTTGCAGGAGGTCTCGCTTCTGCTCTTGAGTAAGAGCACCTTTGTGCGTGCGACCCTGTTTGAAGCAAGCCGGCGTGGCCTGCAAATCATCTTTCGGGTTCTCCTGCCACCACCGCTCCACCCGAGCTAGTTTCTTTCGCGAGATGTGATACTCGGACAAGCCATTCTCTGCCGCCAACGCATTGTTGAAGATGCCAGCGCGGACGAGGTTGGATGCGTCTACATAGAGCTGGAAAGCTACATCGTCATTCTGCATGAGATAGGTCCGCGGCTCTTTGTGAAGCTTTGCCTTCAGAGATTTCCACTTTGCGTGGAACTCCTGCAAAGTGGAAGTTCTGTTCTCCGACCAATAGTTTGAAGCAAGCTGCGTCTTGAGGGGGCTTTGCGCATCATCATGTCCTGGAATGCGATGCGAGATGGAGGACATGAAGGCTTGTCTGTCTGAAGTAGACAAAGCCTTCCACTGTTGCAGGGCTTGTGTCTTGCCAACGCCCTCCTCTGCTTTGACCTTCTGAAACCAAGTCCAAGAACTCCAGCTCGAGCTCGCAGCTAGAGCAACTGTCGCAGACGGTGGCTCTGATGGCTCCTCGCGTTCCAACTCAGCCTCACTGGCAACGGCAACCTGTGCATCAACATCTCCCAAAGCTGGAGGCTCTGTTGCAGCCTCTTTCGCAGACACCAAAGCTTCGTTTCTTTTAACGTTTCGCTCAAAGCACGGCTGACAATACCCTTTAATGCCAGACTCTGCGACAGCCGTAAAGTCAGCGCCGCAATCCGCACAGACACGGGGCGGAGCAATGGGCGGCGGAGGCATTGGCGGAGGCGAGCTGGGGTTGCAGCATCTTTGCGGATCTTCGGCCCTTGCTGCCAAAGCCCGCAAGCTGTCTAGGGCTGCATTTGTTTCACCTGCAGGTTGGGCAAGACGCGAAAGTGAAACGGAGACTATACTCGTAGGACAGGAGCCTCCGAGAGTAGGACCATCGGTATCGTCCAGCTGATGAGCTTGCTGATCCGAGAGCCTGGCAGAGCTGCGTGCATTGTAAGACATGCAAAAATGTGTGGCTGACAGTGCATTTCGCGCAAGCAGCGCGCAAGCAGCGCGCAAGCAGTGCGCAAGCGGCGCTCCCCATTTCCAACCAACAGCCCACCCTTACTTGAGCGCGGGCTAGGAAGAAGCACTGAAGAAGCAAGGGTCGCAGCTTGGATTTGCCGACATGTACGCGCCCGTCACACTCTATTCACAGCAAATTGTCTGCACGTTCCAATCTTGCCTGGTCGAGAAAGAAGGCTTGCTTGATGCAGCCATGGAAGCCTGCACAGTGGCACACACAGTGGCACATGCGGCTCAAAGCTTACGGACCACTACTGCGCAAGTTTAAGACTTTTGGAGAGTAGAGTTATTGGTACAGCAGGTCCGGTCCGTGAAGCAGGCGCTGCCCCAGCGCTGTGAAGTACGACTTGTTGTTGCTGTTGTTTTTGTTGTTGTTGGTGGTGGTGCTGCTGCTGCTTCTTTGTCTGTGGTGCTTTAACCAAAACCGCCTGACAAGCCATTCTCTGCTCCTTTTTTCTTGTGAATCTATTTGCTTCTTAGCTGTGTTAATATCTGTATTCCGCGGTGCTTCAACCAAAACCGCCTGGCAAACCTTTTGGCGCCCCTGTATGACCGCATCCTGTACATACCCCCTTTAGTATGTACTTCTGTGGTCCTAAAACCAAAACGGTGCCTTGCTTCGTGGTCTTAAACCGGTACTGTGCCTTGATTTTGTGGTCCTAAAACCAAAACCGTGCTTGTGCCTCTGTGATCCTATGTTCAAGCTGTGCATCGGTCACGCTTGTTTGTGGTCCTATAACCAAAACGGCGCCTTGGTTCGTGGTCTTAAACCGATACTGTGCCTTGGTTATGTGGTCCTAAAACCAAAACCGTGCTTGCGCTTCTGTGATTCTATAGGGTTTTGGGTGCCAACTACAGCATCGGATATGGTTGGTTAATGCCAACTACAGCATCGGATACAGCTTTTCAGGGCTAACTAAAGCATCGGATACGGGTTTTGGGTGCCACTACAGCATTGGATGCATGTTTTGAGTGCCGCTTAAACATCGGATACGCGTTTTGAGTGCCACTACAGCATCGGATACGGGTTTTGGGTGCCACTACAGCATCAGATGCGGGTTTTGCGTGCCAACTACAGCATCGGGTACGGGTTTTGAGTGCCAACTACAACATCGGATACGGGTTTTGGGTGCCAACTACAGCATCGGATACGGGTTTTGGGTGCCACTACAGCATCGGATACGGTTGTTTAGTGCCAACTACAGCATCGGAGCGTCTTCCCATGCAAATGTAGTTGTTTCTTGCAACAGGACTATTTTGGGCATGCTTTCCCCCAACTACACGCTCATTGGTCGACTTCCTGAAATGCTTCCCGCAACTACTTACTCGATACAAATAAAAATGGTCAACTTTCCAGTTCAACTGTAACAAAAAGGAGGTCTCCTGCAGCAGCTGCCCTGCCTGCTCCTTCTGCAACGTCACGCTATCGCTTGCAGGCTGTAGTCCTGCCGAGACAAGACATGCCCCACTGAGGGGAAAACGTGCAAGTTCGAGGTTCCATGTTTTCCCCTCTCAGCAACTCGTTCGCAAGTTGCTCCCCCTCGAGTCGCAGCAAGCACATGTTCGTGCGCTTGCGCTGGAGCCCCTTTACAGGCCGAGGCAGATCAAAACAGTCCGCATCTAGCTGCAAGAAGAATCAAGCTCGAGCTTTTCAATGCGCTCGATCGCGGCCTCAAGTCGCGGGAGCAGCTCTGCCAACTTTGCTACGGCATGGTTGCCACGCAATGGTTTCACACGCTTGTCCACGGAGGCATGCTTGTCCACGAAAGCAGCGATGTCCCTTGCCTGATCTGGCAACAGCTTCGAGAAGCTTCGGTGACCATAAAGCTGGCGGCAGCGATTGACACACTGTGCACAGTAACCACCGTGCTGGTGCTTCGCGCGGGGCGCCTGGCAACATTGACACTGTCCGGCCTTGCTGTGATGCCCACCAAAGTTCGGAGGCTTTTGCCGCGGTAAAGCAGGCTTGTCCTGCTTCACTGGAGGGGACACCCTTTCCAGATTGTGAAGTTCGACTCTGCGCCGCTTAGTCGGCGTCTCCATGCTGGCGCTGGAAAGGAAACTGCAGTTGAACCCCGGAACGGCTGCAAACAAGGCCCAAGGAACACACTCATTTTCAAACGCCCCTCTGTCATGAAGGCCAACTGGAAAGATCAACAGCGGTGCAAAAGGGTGAAGTCCTGAACATGAAGACGTCTTGCCAGGCGCCGGCTCCTCGAGGCCAGACGTGTCTTTTGGAGGAGTGGCTGTTAGGTTTGGGATTGTTCTGGAAACCTCAGCTTCATGCCAAATTTAAACCCTGCCAAACCTCGTCGCTGGAAAGTTGCGTGCGCACAGACACAGGCTTGCGATGGTAACGTAATCGTGTCCCCAAACCTCGTCGCTGGAAAGTTGCTCACAGCCACAGGCTTGTGATGGTAACGTAATCGTGTCCCCAAACCTCGTCGCTGGAAAGTTGCTCGCAGCCACAGCCTTGCGATGGTAACGTAATCGTGTCCCCAAACTTCGTCGCTGGAAAGTTGCGCACAGACACAGGCTTGCGATGGTAACGTAATCGTGTCCCCAAACCTCGTCGCTGGAAAGTTGCTCACAGCCACAGGCTTGTGATGGTAACGTAATCGTGTCCCCAAACCTCGTCGCTGGAAAGTTGCTCGCAGCCACAGCCTTGCGATGGTAACGTAATCGTGTCCCCAAACTTCGTCGCTGGAAAGTTGCGCACAGCCACAGGCTTGCGATGGTAACGCAATCGTGTCCCCAAACGTCGTCGCTGGAATTGCCCTAAGCCACAGGCTTGTGATGCTAACGTAATCGTGTCCCCAAACGTCGTCGCTGGAAAGTTGCCCACAGCCACAGGCTTGTGATGGTAACGTAATCGTGTCCCCAAACGTCGTCGCTGGAAAGCTGCTGACAGCCACAGTCTTGCGATGGTAACGTAATCGTGTCCCCAAACCTCGCACACCCCAAACCCTTACCCTGTAAAAACCTTAACTCTGAAGCCGAGGCCCTGCCAAAGTAGGCTTAAGGCTCAAGCGTTTCGGCTAGGGGTTCAGGGTTTGGGGCTTATAGGGTCGGGGCAGCTCCTCGGCATCGCTTGAATGCTGTTGCGTATGCTTGACCATGTCAGCCTTCTCAGTCTGGTCCTGTCCGGAGTTTGGCAGAAGGTTTAGCTCGGAGCTTCTGGGTTTGGGGTTTAAGGTGTATTTTCGTTCAGGGTCGTAACAGCTCCTGGGCACCGCCTGGATGCTGTAGCATGTGCTTGGCCATGTCGGCATTCGTGAAGTTGTCCTGTCCGGGGCTTGGGTTGTTTGGCATTCCAAGTTTAGCTCCGAACTTCCGGGTTCAGAGTTTAAGTTTTCTTTGGCTTCAGGGTCGTAACAGCTCCTCGGCACCGCTTGGATGGTGTTGCATGTGCTTGGCCATGTCAGCGTTCGTGAACTTGTCCTGTCCGGGCTTGGGTTTTTTGCATTCAAAAGCTTTTCTCGGAGCTTCTGGGCTTAGGGCTCGGGGTCGTAGTGGCTCCTCGGCAGAGGTTGGATGCTGTTGCATGTGCTTGGCCATGTCAGCCTTCTCGAGCTGGTCCTGTTCGGTATAAGGTTTAGCAACAAGCGGTACGTTTGACGGGAGATTGCGTCAGGGAGCAAGCAGAAACAGGAACGTGCCTTCAGTTTCTGCCGAAAGTCACTCGCCCACTGCGTCCGTACCTGCACCCAACAGGCACTAGTGACAGCAAGTGTTGAAATTGACCACCCCGGCCTTCAGCGCCGGCATGACCGCATACGATTCCCATTCCACGCCGAGCCCTGGCCTGAGAATCAGAGGACACCCAACGGTAGCCAGCACAGGGGAGCTAGAAGTTTCTGTCGAGAAGCGTGAACATTTCGTGGGGTGATCGCCGCCACTTCTGGGTGACCGGATGCTGCGTGCTGCTGCCACACTTGGCCCGCCAAAGCCCCAAATTACAATCCCAGAAGTGGTTCTCGCATTTGTGCCCACACTTTGCCTTGGCCAGCAACAATGCCAAGCTACCACATGACAATATCCGAAGGACTCCTTTGATCGACACTCTGCGCCTGAGCGTGCCTACAGGACAACACCTTCGACTGCCGAACCCGCAATATTCAATTCAAGGGCACGCAAAGAGGCGGAGGCCCTGGATCTGCCGTCGCCACTGTCAGATCCGGGCCCGCATCAGCACAGACAATCGCCATGACGTCTGTGTGTCCAGTAGCTCATTCAGAGGGACCGGCACATTGCAAGGAATCCCATGGCACAGATGCACTCTGTATACCGTAATCCATTTACCACTAAACTCCTTAAACCCTCAACCCTGCAGCCCAGACTGTCCTTGGAGTGCTGATCAAGCCTTGGCCAAACCCTGCAGCACCCTAAACCTGGCTTGAAATAGGCACTGAAACCCTCATCAAGCGCACCTTGGCGCTTCAAAGCATTTCCGGTCTCCAAGACAGCTTTCGAAACAATCACATACGTGCATGCCGGTTGCGAGCGTGCCTTCGCCTTTCGTGTTCCGGGCACAGCTTACAGAAATATAGATAGTTCAGTACCAGGTATGTGAATCTTGCGGGTTCTGCAAGGCACAGCGCGATTGGGTTATCTTCTGGGCCTGCGGGCCACTAAACCACTTCGACCCAGTAGGTCGTCTGGTGGATCGGTTGAAGCTGGGTCACCTAGTGGTATGTCACCAACACCAGCCCCCGGCACGTTGATGATGTCATCTTCAAATCCCTTGGCCCTTCCTGGAAGTACTGGCATAACGTAGGAGGCCACCAGCATATACTTATTGTCCAAGGCTTCAGGGGTATGTCCTCCACAAACATCCACCGACATTGTGTAGCACGAAGGGTACTCAACCTTACGGTGCGCATGACCGGTGGCCCTGGTGGCCACACACGTTTGGCAACGTTTGTTGTAAGGGACATGACCAGCTCGAACATGTTGAATCCACCTGTGGAGCTCTTCCTTACTCATGCCACTCAAAGGACCATCAAGTCGCCGAAGAGCAATGACCGTCCGCCATTTTTGGAAACCCCGAATCAAGATCTCCTTGAACTCCTTCGTCCATACCAAAGCTCCCGTTGAAGATTGAACTTCCCAATCATTCACCGGCATCTTCAACTCAAGAGACGTAGCCACAGTAATGCTCGGGCTCCCGGCTGCAACCTTCACTTCAGTCTCCGAACGAAACTTCTTCCAAAGCTCCGACTTCCAAAGCTCACTAGCAGTAGGCATGGTCATTGCAAAGCCCGGGGTCGCGATCTCGTAGTTTTCCGCCGCTGACCGTGCCACCGCCCAGAGGAACATCTGCTTCAGAACCAAATCACCGACACCCTCATTTCTAGGAGGTCCTCCAAGCACACCATGAACTTGACCTCTCATTGCTGCCCACAAAAGAGCTCGGTAGGCTGGACTCGGCTCCCGTACATTGAAGGCCTTGCTGACACTCAGGTCGATGTTCAGAAGGGTCACTCCGTCCTCTTCCAACACCTTGAAATCATCATCAGACTTGTTGCCTGAGTACATGTGCACAAGCCACCGAGTCGTCATCAACCTCCTTCTCATAGCTCTCTTGATGGGCAACGCCTTCAGGTACTGGTGGCCTGCCTTGTCACTCAAATCAATGTCCTGGATCAAGGAGCATCGCTGCTGTTCTGTAAGCACACCAAACGCCGAGTCCTCACACATCAAAGCCTTGAGACCATCAGCGCGATTCCCCGTGCGCCGGTATTCCTGCAACTGAGCCCCAAAGCTCAACTGTGCTTCCAGGCCATTCATCCTCAGCTGAGTCTCAATGGTGTTCACCTTCAGTTGTTCCAGCTTGCGACTTTCCAATTCCCGAATAAGTTCGAGAGCCTGCGGCTCGCCAATGTAAGGGCAGGACTCCACCACGTGGGTGGAAATCGTGCCGTGCTCCGGGTGCTCAACTTGTAAACCTCGCTTTGTCCACGACACCGTACATGCCAATTCCTTCACTAACGACCCGAGGGGTACAATGGTAGTAAAGGAGGAATTCGAGGAACGCTGGTTGTTGTTGCTGTTCCCGCAAAAAATGAGAGTGCCCGCCCTGTTCTGGCGCAACATCACAGTCTTGCCGTCAGCAAGCTTGACCGATACTGGTGGCGCCTTGGTATCCTCGCCCCCTTTGACGGTTCCATCTCAACGGACTTCAGAGCCACCTCATCACGCAAAGACTCCACCGCCTCAACATCCGCAACCTGAAGGGCGCTAAGCCTGGCCATTCTCTGAAGCATAACATTCACCTCCTTCATGAAAGTCTGCAGCTCTGGATTTTGAAGGGCCTCGGGAGAAAACGTCTGAATGGGCTCGGCCTGGACAACGGGATCGCCGGTACAAGTAGCCAAAAAGCTTAGGGTGGTGCTTGCCGAACTGGTTCCCGGCACCAGCATCGCCTTAGGCTCTGGGGTAGCCGACGCCAGGAGGACTCAAAGCGGGAGGGCCAGTCGTCGGGCAGGTGGGTGCATTCTTCTGCTTACTGGGGTCCTTAAATGCACACTCGCTCTGACGATGCTGTTTGGATCCACAGTACCAACATCTCTGGCGTTTGTCCTCCTTGCTGGCAAACTCATGGGCGAACTTACAAAGGCCACCCTTTCTGCAACCTTGGTCTGACATGAAGACTTGCACGGTGCCGGTTGCTTTGTCCCACCCTTCCCCGGCGAGCTGGGCGGCGTCCTTGCCGCGGTGCCACCAGTGCCCGCCTGACCATCTACAGCTCTCAAGCGCGGGTGCTCCTCAGTGGAGCGGCCAGTTCGGGTACTTTGTGGGGAGGGCGCTGATTGTTGCAGCTCTGATAGGACATGATCAAAGTACTTCAAGAGATCCTCCAGGAGCGTACAACACGTGGAGCCTGTAGAGGATGCCTGCAACAGTGCCGACCCGATGCGCTACGGCGTCCTCCTTGATCGCCTGGAGGCATCGCGGTGAGGAGCATCGTCATCACCTTTCTCTCCAACCGACTCCATCTTGCCTCTGCCAGTTCTGGAGGGATGATAGGTGATATAGACAACCTCTCCATTGGGTCGCGAGCTGGTGCTTGGCAAAGGCTTCCTTCGCACACTTCAAAGTATCTACAAACCACCTTGTCGACGAATCCGACAACGATCCGATGATCTGCTCTGCCACATACAGCCAATCACTGAATTTCACCCCCAATTTCCCCAACCGGGTCCGGGAGCTGTGGTAACTCCACATTTGTTCTTCAGAGCCTCAAACTCCGGCGTCTTCTTTTCCAGGTAGACATCCTGCAACTGCTTCATTCCTCGCACCAACACATCCAGTGGAGAAAGGCCATCCTTCTCCTTCGGAACGTCGCTCCAACGAGAGCGGGACCCATCAAGAGACCCCATGGTCTCCGCCGTCATCTCCTTGGCTCCAGAGCTATCCCTCAACTGGTCCGCTCGACCTGGCATCCCACCAATGGGTTGTGCTCTTCTCCACGTCCCCGATCTTGTGGATTGCTGCCAGGTAGGGGTGCAGGTCCGGGTAGACCGGGTGGAGCTCTCGGGACCCGACTTGAACCTTCAACTTCTCCCGGCGGAATGCCTCCAGCTTCAAGGCCTTGAGGTCCACCCATAGGCCCGCGAAGTCCGGGTTCAGGTTTCCCTCCACCTGCTTGAAACACATCATTGAGGAGCTGGGCTGAAGCGCTCAACGCGCCCTGCAGCTCAGTGTTCTGTTCTTTAAGTGCCTGTAGTTCCGCGTCTCGGGTCCGCATGGCAATCTGGACCTGCCTCTTCACTTCCTCCATCACAAGTTCCCGGCTCATACTTCCGGCCGAGCTATCGTCCCTCATAGGCGGAGGTTCCGGCACAGAGGTAGTCAAGGAAGTCTGCTGAGCTGTCCACTCAGCCATGGCCCTCCAGGTTTCCGGAGACATCAAAGGTGGTTCGGTCGCCTGTGCTGAAGTAGGGGAGTGCCAAGTGGGTGAAGCTTGCGGACCTCGCTCTGGTCCTTGAACATGTTCCAACACTGGTGCCACCAATCTGAGATGTAACACTTCGCTGATTCTGGTGACCGACCAAAACCCATTGTTTCTCTCGTCCGGCAAAAAAAGTCACCTGAGAAGATCCAGCGAGGCTCTCCGCGGAGTTGAACTCGTTCCGACTGCCAGGATCACAAGGCTCTCTGTGCCCTGCTTTGTACAGCCTGCACAACTGCTGTACGCTGCTCCGCCAACTGCTCAACAGCTTGATGTAGCGGAGGAGGAAGTCGATTAGTCGACTCGTTCTGCTGCAGCGGTTGCGGTAGACGAAGTGGTACTCGAGGAAGCTGTGTAGCTTCATGCTGAGGCGGCTGCGGTAGGACTGCTGCCTGCTGCTGTGTTGGTGGCGGTGGTGGTGGCTGCCATTGCTCGCGCACTACACTCGTCGTCGCGCCCGGTCCGGAAATTCGCGCTTCCACGGCCGATCCGGTTGGCAGACTCGCTGCCCCAGGTGCTCCACCATCGTTCTCCGCCGCCACTGCCGTAGATGTAGTTGCCTCAATGTGACCATTCTCTCCTCTGACCCGGACGGGCCGAAGTGAGCCTTCCAAGGGGAAGTGCTGAGGAGGCCCCAGATCTTCTCACTTCTGTTGGCGGCAAAACACCATTCACAGCACCATAGTTCGGTCTAGCTTGCTCTCCTTCAAGCACTGCTCCACTTCTACTTGGGCGATTCATAACCTGCTGTTCTTCAGAACGGTTACCCGAAGGTCCTGGGCTTACTTCGGAAGCTTGCGCCATGCTAGTCTTCTCAATTCAGTTGGAATCCATGGCTCTCGAGACGAATTGTTTTTTCCGCACTGCACAAACGAATCTGCTGTGACCTGCTGATGCCTTAAGCATGCACGAGCTTACAGCTTTCTGAAGTTCATGACACAGAGCTATCTAGCTTGCGGAACCCTCACAGCACATGGATCAACACTGATCCGCTTGATGCCTGCTCGGAGAAGGGCACATTTAACAGAGTTCAGTGAGGATTGTCGGTTCAGTTAAAGGTGGCGGCTTTAGGCTGTATTAGCCTACTTGTCCAGTATCCTGGAGGAACTGAAAACGCCAATTAAAAGTAAACCCTTTGGATGATACGGGGGAAAATAATACACCAGAAAGGTTAGAGGCTATGGTGTCCCTAGACAATCCCTTTCGAGGGCATGGGTCATGGCGAATCCAACTAAGTCTACCGCGGTGGTGTGTAGCCTCGCTGACTGTTCCTTCAAGTGAACACTGCAGGAATCACAGCCCAAATCTAAAGACTTGACAACAAGACTCGGAATTCACGCCCTGCCGTGAACTCCACCGAAACCCGAAAATTGTTACAACCAGTCTTCCGCAACCCTATCCGTAACACTTTGTGTCCCGTATCAGAAAACACGACTGAAAGCTTTCTTTGAGCACCAACCCAAAAGAGCCCAAGCATAACATTTAAAACTTCAAGCATCTAGAATCCCGGAGTCCCTATAATCCACCTTAACCCTAAACCCTAAACCCTAAACCTGTAATCCACCTTGCAAAGCTTCAACCCTAATCCTCTGAAGAAAGCAACACAGAGCTTTGTCCATCTGGCGCTGGATGCTCCGACTTGTGGGAGAGCAATCGGGTCGCCGCTAGATGTTCAAGCCATGGGGTTAGGGTTCTACCTTCGAAGAAAAAAACCCTAAACCCTAAACCCTAAGCCCTAAACCCTAAACCCTAAGCTTGTAACTGATTATTTCGTAGTGTTTGGGCCACAGGTGGGCTTTAGGGTTCCAGACTTGGGGATTCGTGTGCAGAGAGGGGGGCAGGGTCCACAATATCGGGTTGATGTTATCCTAAACGCTAAACCCTAAACTCCTACAACCTCGAAACCCTAAGCTTATGAATCCTAGACCCTCAACTTGTAAAACCTCCAAACCCTAAGCTTATAAATCCTAGACTCCTAGATCCTAAACTTGTAAAACCTCCAAACCCTAAACTTATAAATCCTAGACCCTAGACTTGTAAAACCTCTAAACCCTAAACTCACAAATCCTAAACCCTGAACCCTGTAGGACTTCGAATTTAGAGCTCGAGTGTCGGAGCTGGCCTTGGCTTAGGGCTAGGGTTTAGGGGACTACTATTTGCTTAAGAAACACCCAAAAAATAAAAATAATATTGCCCCCATAAGGAATATATTTTTTATTTTTTTGGGGTTCTTAAGCAAATAGTAGGGGATTTAGGCTTTAGGGGCTTAGGGTTTAGGCTTTAGGGGCTTTAAGGGATTTAGGGTTTAGGGTTTTTTGGGGGTTTAGGGTTTACAGTAGAAGCCCAAAAGTTGGAAACCCAATAGCCCCAATCCCAAAAAGTTCAGAGGTACATATCATAGAGGGCACCTAGGGCCAAGGTACTACGTTAAAACAGGGAAGCGAGCCCATCTTTTAAGGTCATGTCTTTTTTAAAGTACACTGGTTACTCCAGGTAGGATTTCGGGCTTAATTCGGGTTCAGGGTTTAGGGTTCTTGACACCTCACAGCAGTATGGACACTTTCCAGCTGACCCAAGAAACTTGACCCTAAAGCAGAGAAAGCTAAATCCTTAATCTGTGTAGAATGACTACTGGAAACTGTAGTGTTCATATCAACTCCTACTAGGATACCCAGTAACCTAAGAATAAAAAAGGCCTCTCTTTTTGGTATTGGGTAACTTTATAAGGAACCTAGGACTACAAAAAGGGAATATGGGTACTACTGGGCATCCTAGCATCAACCCCTAAATCCTGAACTATAAACCTTAATCTAGACCTAAGAGTAACCTAGGAATAAAAAGGGTGCCCTTTTTGGTTTAAGGGGGTTTATAAGGGAACCTAAGCCTCAAAAAAGGGAATAAGGGCCTAGTCTAGGTCCTAGATAAACCCTAATCTCAAGCCCTAGGCCCGAAGTCCTAATCCCAAAACCCCAAGCCACCCTATAGGGTTTAGGGTTTAGGGTTTAGGGTTTAGAGTTTAGGGTTTAGGGTTTAGGGTTGAGGTACGTCAAACTGCCAAGCTGTGACGCCCTAGCCGCGGGTCAGGCAGAAAAGCTGTCGAAGCTCGGAATCGGACATGTTGGCAAGGTCCTCAACGCTCCATCTGAAGCTTAAGGTTCAGGGTTTAGTTTTTTTTTTTAAAGGGTTCAGGGTTTAGGGATTAGGGTTTACCGTTTAGAGGCCGTTGCAGGGTCTAGTTGAGTAGGGTTCAGAGTAGGGTTGAGGCCTTGTAGCGTTTGTTGTTTTGAGGGTTTCAGGATTCTAGTTATAGGATCCTTAAGGGAGGGTGGTTCAAGGGGGGACGGTATAAGGAATCCTTAGGGGACTGTAAGGGAACCTGAGGGAGTACTAGGGAGAATTAGGGCTCACTAGGCTATATCCCCTTGGACCCCCCTCCCTTAAGGATACTACAATCTAGGCCTGGGGTCCGGGACTCGGCGTGATGTAACAAACCCGCTGTGGTCAGGCACCACCAACAGCGGTCATAATCAACCTGTATCCCCAAACCCTGAACCTTAAATTAAACCCATCGGAATTCCTGTGACCCCAAGCCCTACAATATAGTAGGTTATGACCCCTTAATTAGAGGGTCTGACCCTTAAAACGGTAGGTTTTTGGATCCCCAGGAAGGAGCATGCCATAAAAATGTGACAGGGTCTGGGATTCAGGTTCGGTGCATCTCTATAATTTGAGGTCTATTCCTTACTTCTCCTTGCTAAGAGCTCATGGGCCCCAAGGGAACACCAAACCTAAAATTTTGCCTAAGTCCATAACTCCATGCCCGAAGCCCTGTATACTTGGAAGGACAGGGGACTTAGTAAGTAGGTTATAAGTAGGGTTGTAGTTGGGGTAACTCCATTTAGGGTACTTATAACTCTACTTATAACCTACTTACTAAGTCCCCTGCCCCTCCAAGTAGACCCTCGACCTTGCATCCAGGATTATCTGAATGCATCGCTCTCCAAGAGTTCCTGCTCCTGACATGCCGCCACCACCCCAGTAGCCCGAAAGCTATAGACATAGAACTGAAAGCAATCAAACCGCCTAATAGTCACTTAGAGGTTGATTTTAGGGTTATCTGTCAGAAACCGGATAACCTCTGAAACCTGAAGCCCTAAAGCCTAAACTCTTAAACAAGAGTCCTGCAGCCGCTGCATCCACAGCCCTTTCCGCCACACCCTAAACAACCAATTCCTTGCTCTTTTCAACCCAGCGCATACAACTGTTAAACACACACTTGCAAACAACGCTACACCCTAAACCCAACCTAAACTGAACACAGGCAAACAACTTTCATCGAGAACGCTGTCAGGCCCTTGCTCTAAAACCGGCGCAAACCAGCACATGCTCAATGTAGTAAAGGGGCCTTGCTAGTTTGAATAGGGTTGGAGCCCATGATACCATAATTACAATACGCGAACACCCCAGAATAGTGTAGGTAATTATTTAGGTCCCTATGTTAGATTCTAGACCGCTGGTTGAAGGCCCCAATACTCGGATTACTGATATAACTAACCAGTGGTTTTGGGGTTCCCTGGGCCCTTTAGCTCCTTATTCAATAGGGATTATCATCATCCCTGGCTCCTTAGCTCCTCCAATATCAGAGGTTGGATAATCCCGTTGGAGGCACCAGGATTCCTAAAAAGCAGCCCAAACCCGAAACCTAAAACTCAAAACCCTGGGCCCAAAGCCCTACACCCTAACGACGCCCTTTTTCCGAAAACCCACAAAAATCCTAAACCCCAAGCCCGAAACCTAAATCCGAAACCCTAAAGCCCTAAACCCCTAAACCCCTAAACCCTCAACCCCAAACCCCTAAACCCTAGGCCCTGGAGGTCTGCATTAGGCGAGTCCCTCCCGGCCTTCGTAACGGACTTGTGGTCGCCTTCATGGGCTGGATGCTTCGGGGCGGATAGAGCAGGGGCCCTAAACCCTAAACCCCTGAGAGGCTTAGGGTTCAGGGGCTTAGGGTTTAGGGGTTTAGGGTTTCGGGGTTTAGGGTTTAGGGGTTTAGGGTTTAAAGCCTAGCCCTAGACCCCTAAAACCTAAACCGGGGGATGTACCCTTTTTTGGATTTTAGGGGTGCTGGGTCTAGGGTTTAAAGTGTTTCAGTTTGTGGTTTTGGGATCTACGGCTTTTCGGTTCTGGGTTGAAGGTTTACATGCACTTTAACCTGTGAATGCACGAACCTGGCGGCTTAGGGCATACGGACTTGGTGGGTTTGGGGTTGCGATAAGCTCTGTATTGCATTAAGAATACGTCCTAGCCTCACAAAATGAAATCCCAAGCTAGACTCGCAATAATCCCTGAGATACACCCTACTTCATGCCTGCTAACCTGCAAGAACATGCGCGTTTTGGAGGGTGCCTGTAGCTTTAAATCCTGGTGTAGGGCATAACGAAGCCACAACTACTTGCGGCAGAGATAAGCTGTTGGACTATCAAATTACAGACTATAAGAACCCAAGAAGTTTAAGGGCTGGGCATTGGAGGACTAAGCCTAAACTCAAACCCCCTAAACCCTAAGACGAACTGTAGGTTGTAGATAGGTGAAAGGAAGCCTCAGAGTGAAAGGGTTCCTTTAAAGGGTTGTTGTGAGGGGTCCTTTCCGGGGTTTTATAGGGGAGCGATGGGATTGAGGGTTTTGCATACAAGGTTTGGGGTGTTGAAGTTTGGGGGCTTCCGGTTAGGAGTTCAAGGCAAGGAAATTCAAGCCTGACATGTAACGAGCTTACGGAGGGCTAGGTTTCGGGTTTGGGGTACAAA